TAATCAAGCACAAACCTTCATGTTCTCACTAACCTTCACGACAATGGTCTTGTTTGCTAAAGATGCCCAGAAACACACAGTACAGTTCCAATAGGGTCCGAATACCCTGACAGGTGCAAGGCATGAAATGCTCATGTGCACGTCCCAGTGTTAAGAATAGACTGAATAATCCTTCTTGTTATTATCCCATTATAACACAAAAATAGAAAGTTGATTAAGGTGGGACTGTGGAGGCACCATGTCTGGATATGTTTTCATATTTCACATACTGATGCAGTCGTCTTATAGCAGGTCGGTGAGTAAAAAGTTATTTTCATTTTTTAACTTGAGGTCAAAAACAATAGTTGTTTTAGGCGAAGCCCCATTAGTTGAAATGTACCCCTCAATGGCTACATGTTTACACACAAACCCCCCCTTCGTATAAATGTTGAGTATTCATACAGAGTGTTCAGTAGTTTCAGTCTCCGAGAGAAAAACAAGCGGGCCGAACGGCCGACATCAAAGCAGAAAAAAACACTGCAAGCAATCAAGGGAAATAAGTGGAGAGATTAAGTGTTCTAGAGGGACGGGGGGGGGGTTCAGGCAGGACGTTGCTCCAATTAAAATAGCAACTGGATATGATAGACAGTTGGGAACAGACAAGGAGGAAAGCAGATCGTTGACAGTGAAGCCATTTCAGCCAACATGTTTAATCTTTACATCGATTTTTCTTTTCTGATGAACTTTTGTCCTAAAAGCACTGCTCTCCCCACGCAGATAGACCCAGTTATAATATGAAATGCATGCAAATAAAATGTTTTCGGGCAATAGATCTTTTTTGCAGGTAACGACGTCGAGCAGAGCAACATCTGGAAGTTCATCAGTCTCTCCGGGCGGAGGTTTGTTCTCTTCCGTTTTTTTGGCCGCTTGGTTTTCACAGCTGTGTTTACGGGTAGCACGCCATGTCCAAATTGTCCACAGATGTTTCCTTAAACACAACCTACCTGAAGTGAAGACTGAAAATTGTTGAGCAAAGCTTCGGTAGCAGTTTGAGATGCAGGAGACGCGTGTCTACGTTTTTTAAGAAAAAAATACCCCCAGAAACCGTCGTATTTGCTGATCTGACCGACCGTGTAGTTATAATTATGCTGCAGACATTTTGAGTGTGCACTCACGGGCCTTCTGATAGCGGGAAAGCAAAGCGCGATGGTCTCAGGCGCTTGAGATTATCAGCACGTTTTAGGGTTTGTCCTACAAGAGACAGATTGTGAGCAGGAATGTGTCTCGTCTGTAGCTGCCTTCTCCAAGACTCCACGGTTACTGCGGCGCACAAAGTCTATGGCCTGTCTCTTTTTGCTTGCATTAATGCGTAAAGTTCCCTCCTGAGAAATCATTGCTGCATTTCAAAAACTGTGTAAAACTATTTTTTTTAAATATCCTAAAAAACAGAAATGCAATACTGCTGAGATTTACCGTTGTTTTATCCAAAAGTTAAATGAAATGTTGGAAAATGACACATTTCAGCTTCGACACCTGGTGATTATGTATTAAAAAATGTGGTGCAGATGAAAAAACAATTGTGGGTTTGTGTTTGATGCAATTTATTACCGTTGTGAACATTTAAAACAGCTTAACATTCGGTCGCTTCGGATCATTAAGGGCCTCTAGCCACGTTGCTCCTGGACAATGTCGTCTTGTATGAATATTGTGGTTGAACCTCCAAAGAGACTCCAGACGGTTTCCAACAACAATACAGTCCCATCCCTCATTTTTTTATTAACTAGCAACCTCCAGGCACCGATTGCTCCAACATGTAATCTTCCTCTTTGCCAAGTGTTCCATGCAACACAACAACGTATTAGAGACATTGCAGGAAAAAAAAGTAATTATTAGTAATTATTACATTAGCCAAGAAACAACTCTATTTCTGAAATTAAAGTTTTACATTTTCCAGGGAACAAAATGTCTGATTTAACTATAAAATAAAATGCACATAGATGTTTTGCATTATCAAGTGACATGAAATAAATAACTCACATGTTTCTTTGGGGAATGTTGGCACACTCAGAGGCCATCTCTACACCACAAATAAATACTGATATAAGAGCAACACGCCAGATGTATTCATATCGCATTTAACCCCATGACGTTCAAACTGGCAATCACACTCGAACCATTTACGCGGAGCCTCGTCTCCTCCCCGGACTCCAGTTGGCGGTGCCGATGCCGGTAGGGCTGAGTCGTGTCTTTGGAAGTGGTTGGGAACTGTAAGGTGCTGTCTTAGCTGGAATGCAGTTTCTGAGATACGGAGGAGGAGAGATTTAACATCCTTCTGTGCAAAATACTCCCTATGCACGACGGTGGTGGGGAATCCAGGGAAATAACTCACAATCTCCGCCACTCAAATTCTGTTTATGTGTTTAACTGTTATGCTGCTGATGTGACCTCCAGTTTTGTGGGAAACAAAATAGCTGCAGACAATCGGCGTTCCTCTTGCTTTCATTTTTCTGACCTTTGCACTTGAGGAAATCCCTTTTTCAGATTTAATCATCAGAGAGCCAGACTCTATGAACCCAGAATTAGCGGTTTCTGCAGACTGGAGAGGTGGAGTTGTGTTAAAAGTTATATTAAAAGAAAACCTCCTGTTACTTTTAGCAACACACCTTCACGTTACTCAGGGCCAGAAAGTTGCAGGAACTTTGCAAGAGCCAAATCGTCGAGAACACTCACTTCTCCACAGGCTTTTTTCATCAGATATCATCATCGCTGCTTTGGCAAGTCTCCCCTCCCCCTAATTAAGATCGTCTGTTCATGTTATATTGATTAATGTCTGATGGAGTCAAGTGTCGGCACTAATCAGGCTGTTATGGAAATTCCTCCATCAAGATTCACGTTATATTTTTCTCTCGTGCTGTAACTTTTTGTTTTCGAGGAGCGTATGTCCCGAATTAATAAAGCCAGGCAGTAAACTGAACCCTGTTAACTCTGTCACTGCTTGTCACAGTAGAATTGGCCTCAAACTTATTCTATCTCTCTCTCTTTCTCTCTCTCTCTCTCTCTCTCTCTCTCTCTCCTTCTATCTCTCTCTCTGTTCTTTCTGTTTTTTTGCGCATGTGTCCCAGTTAAGAAATTGCTTACATCCCACTCAGTCTGGGGCTGGATTGAAATTTCCCATAGGGTATGTACCAATATGCAGAGAGCACACTTCGACAGATGCCATCAGAGAACAAGCATATGAATTACCAGGCAGCCTGCCATCTTCGAGTTCAGACAGAATGGCATTAATACCTGATTGCGATCCAAACAACAACACAACAACAACATGAAAGCCAGAGCTACAGGGAGCAGGTAAAGGTTTCATCATTTATATATTAATGGATTTACTAACAAAGACTCCACTACCCCTTCAAAAGTTAAAATGTCATAGAAGCTGCCAACAATCAGGGGACTTTGGAAAAATAAGGGAGGGGTGGGGGTAAGATATCAGATGCCGTCAGCAAATCACGTTCCAATAAATTAAACATTTGCCACTGCTGACCATAACTAATTCAGAAGTCATGATGAATTCATGACTACAATTAAAGAAAACACGATCGCTTTAATTTTAAATGGCTGTAAATATTGGCATTACCCAATTAAGTCACATTTGACTAGGAAAAGTACCTGTAAATGGACCGTGAACACTGAACCGATACGTTTCACGAGGATGCAGGAGAGTTTCACTCAAAGTTTTATTAGAAAGTTTCTTTAACCTGTCTTTAATGACATGACATATATAGCATTTTGTAATTATTCAAAATAAAAAGCAAAAACAAAAAGTACTCCAAAGATGTATACTGATTAATGTAATCATGCTTTATTGTTGTAAAGGAAAAATTGTGTTAAAGATGCTTGTTAATATATCTGGTTGAAACTGTCCACTTTTAAAATACGTAAAAGATTACTTGATTTGGTAGTTTAATGCACTAAGAAAATGTGCCTTTTCTAACAAAATATGTAAAGAATTGTGCCGGGCAGGAGCGATGTGATTGTCATTGGTCTAATTGAGTAGTTTTCTGCTTGAAGCAGCTGCTGTGTCAGCTCTTTGTGGGTGTCGTTGATGGCCCCTCTTCCTGCTCTCAGCGCGCATCATGATGAAGGGTCCATTTCGAAATCCATAATGGACACTGATGCAGGAGCACTCTTCTCGCTTGACATTGAACTGTCTTCTTCTCTCTTTCGGGCATTCAGTCATCTCGCAGATGGCGGCCTCTCCGTCTGCCTCTGATGTTCGGTTTGTTTTTCTCACGCAAGGAAAAACGATTTATTGGCCTTTCTTGTTTTTTTTCTTAATTTGTCATTTAGATGTTTGGTAATTGAAGAGAAAACCCTATTTCCTCCCACCTTTTAATCCAGCCCCAAGTGATTATCCACTCTTTTTTTACAGCCCCTGTGAAGCTTTATTTCAACACTGCATGGAAGAGTAAGATATTGTGATGTGGTGAGGCCACCCAAGAGGCGGTTAGTCTGTAAAAGTAAAAGTAGTCTTCTGGTTAGCTCCTACATCCCATCTCAGCCGCCCCCCCTCCTCCTCCTCCTCCTCCTCCTGTCAAATGAGGGAAACAAACTGTACCATTGCACCACGGACACTGACGTCCCCGGTGATTCCTCCCGACTAATCCCTGCTGCCTCTTGTGCGAGGAAACAGTTGCGTGTAACGTACACAAGACATCACGGGATCAGAGTGGGATTGAAGGAGAAGGTAGGAAGGATCTAGGGAAAGGGGCATTTGGGGGGGGGGGGGGGCTTCCAGATGCCCTACGCCACTGTGTGTGTTTGTGTGTGTGTGTGTGTGTGTGTGTGTGTGTGTGTTGTGCCTCGTGAGATGACTGTCAGCAGGCGGTGCCTCTGAGAGAGGGGAGCGACGGGGGCAGGGTGGGGGTGTTTCTAAAGGCGGGGGGGGGGGGGGGGGCAGCCTGTTACCAAAGGGAGGTGGAGATTTACTATCCCACCCAGTCAAAGTGCCTCACACACACACAGAGATACACACACACACACACACACACCACACGCACGCACGCACATACTCTCCACAGGAAACTCCATAATGCGAAGGCACCTCAGAGCAGACGGGTGCATTGCTCAAACCAAGTGGGATACGGTGCGGCTTTGATAGTGCGTTAATTACTCATGTGATGTGATACAGATGTCTGGGGGCTTCAGCCGAAAGTTTGCCTGACGGTTTTCAAGGGGGCCAGGCAGACATTTTAGAAGCGGTAGGTGAAAACCAAATGCATTTATTATTTATGGGTAGATCAGTTTGCGTGCTGTCACAGATCCCAGCAGTGTCGTGCTGATGCTAAACTGCGATGCTACTTGAAGGGCTGGCTGCTAAATTGTTCTTTGTGTACTTGGTGACAGCTGGGACTTTGAACAGGAAGAACTGCGGGCTGTGAGAGTTGCCGGTGCAAGATGACATGATGAAAAAGGGCTTCACGGTCGAGATGACAGTTTTAAACTTTATCTGCTCTTTACCGGGAGTTTAGTAGAGTGAATTACTCTGGTTTTGTCTGGAAGTTTTTCCTGTGTCAAGTCAGCTAAAGTGAAGGTAATTAAGCTTTGACCTGAAAAAGGGGAATTGCAGTTTTTATTTTATTTTGTAGATTTGGATCATTATCTCATTTTCAATTCTTTTATACTGTGCATTGAGAAACGTTGACAGGAAATCAACCCCCGCAGAAGAAAGAAAAAGATCTTTCCTTGTTAGCCACATGTTTAAACCCCTCCAAATTAGAAACAGGGGGAGAATGCAAAACCCAGGAAATCAAAGAGTAACAAACCCACATGAGGCTCGCCGTGAAACGGCCCAAGAGGTTTCACTGCGTAGCTGGAACATTATCGACTCCAAGCCGTTTGCCAACGACTCCCTCTTCCAGGGACCAACGAGAACAAACAAGATGCCCAATGCGCTCTGCCGCTGCCTCATCCTGGACCGTGTGACTCTAACTGGTCCCGGCATCTCCCATCTGTGCCCCCCTTTGGTGAAACCTTTTTGAAGTCTCGAAGAAGCTGTTTAAACTCCCATCACAGCAAAGGACAGTTATGCCGTTTAGCTTCCTTGAACCTGATATGTAATATTCCACTCTGGCTGTATTTGAACTGCTGGCAAAATGCAATGAATTTGCTGGAAAGTCATTTGTCGATAACCAATTTCTCCTGTTGCTGTTTGTTTTCTCTTCTCACCAGAGACCCATTGGTACCGTCTTTGAATCAGTGAAACCAAAGCGCTGAATGCGTTCCATAATGGGCAACCCGGCTGTACATATGTTGCTGCTAATGGCCTGTATGGCAGCCAGAGGAATGTGCCAGATAAACAGAGCTGAAGCAGATGAGGATTCTCTCCCAGGCTCTCTCGTCCACTCCACCCTGCAGCCTACAGGTTTCCACAGCACCGGCAGTACCAGCAGGGCGCCCGGCCTCCGCCCGGGGGTCGAGGCACAATCTTCGGGGTGGGGAAACGACAGCGTCGTGAAGAGGCCGATGCGGCCTCCGCGGTGCCTCGTGACCACCTCGATTAGCGGCTACTTTAAGTACATCAACACCATGATTTCCGTTGTCGTGTTTGTCGTCGGCCTGGTCGGCAACGCCACCCTGCTGAGGATTATATACCACAACAAGTGCATGAGGAACGGGCCAAACGCCCTCATTGCCAGCCTGGCATTGGGGGACCTCCTCTACATAATCACGGGTATACCCATCAATGTATTCAAGGTACGACTTCCACTCATCTGACGCATGTTTCATTACTGTTCCTTTTTTGTTACTTTTTTGAAAGCCAAAACCTGCAGAGTGACAGGTCTCCGTGGCGATGTGACGGAATGCAGCAACAATGGAGGCCATATGCAGAGATAAGGTGGAATATCGCGAGTACGGAGGGGAGGGGGGGTGGGTGGGAGGCGTGCAAACGGTCGGGAAAGTGCAATCAGTCGGCTGGCGTTATCTTCCTCGTGCGGGCAGATCAGCGATGAGAGGAGCAGGGATACGGCCGGCTTAAATAAACACAGGAATCAGGCCGTGGTCACATATGCCGATGGCCTGGCGTTGACCCGGGACATTAGTCACTGACCCATGTCTAGAGGTTGGGTTTTTTTTGGAGTAACCCTTGCTACTCAAGTGATGAATCACTTAGGAATTTTGAACTCAGGCCCCCATTAAACCCCCATCTATTATGTTTTATACAAATAAAAGTGAGATCAGTTTGATTAATGCTTTTGTTTAAAAATGCCTTTGTTTCTGGGGTTCTTTTTAGCACAATGGTTGTCTATAATTATTATTAAAGTAATCGAAGAGCAGCAGTCGGCTGCGATTTCGCGTTTGGATTTTTGGTGACTGAATTATGCCTTTGGAATATGAAGCGTGGAATGATGATGAATTACGCTCAGGGCTCCTGTCTCGGGTAGATTTACACCGATAAATAGCACGAGCCTCGTTTGAGAACCGAGGATGATGGCAAAATGGAATCATCTGTCAACTTGATCTTCCCAGTGTGACGTGGGACGCCATTTTACAAGAGAGAAACGAGGAAGCCACCTGGTTAGAATTAACCCGGGATTATGGGGGAGAAGGAAACATGTGCCAAAAAGGAAACAGAAAAATACCTACCGGGGGGGAGAACAGTGCGAGCACAAACAAAGACACAGCCACGTCGACAACGTCAAAACTCCTCGTTCACTTCCTCGGGGCCCTGACAGTGTTTTCAAAAACAATCATCTTACTTGTGCGCTGAAAAGCGTTTCCTCTTTGGTGCTCTTCTGCGGTCCTGGGAAACCTAAACGGCACAAGTGAACAATAACGACCAGGAAGCTCTCTGAAGTCCTTCTTTGGCCTTCAGCTTTGTTCAACGCAGTTTACACAAAGGTGCCAAGAGCGCTTTGATGGAAATAAAGGTGTAAAGTCGCGTGGCCTTGACTTGTTATCTCACAGGAAATAATGTCAAAAGAAGTTGTGAAAAATACTGGGGACAAAAATTGTAGATTATTTCTAAAGTTCAACAGCATGTTTTCAGAGGCGATATGTTTGCAGGAGATGGGAAAGTTTTATCAGCTGATGAGCTCCACACGGTCCTTGTCAGACTAAACTCACTGTGACGTTGAACGGCCTTTGATGTGCCTCGATCTGCAGTGAAATTTCCTTAAATAGATATTACTGCTCGCGTGAACCCAGCAGCTAAAGTGAGAGTGAAAAGTCTGCTCCCAAAAGCCTTTTTAAGACCGATTACTTTATTGAAAGAATTTACTTTGTGTCGTTGTAGCTACGTCAGCTAAGCCAAACACTTGATTTGACGAACAAATGGTACCAGTGTGACAGTTGAGAAATACCCGCTTGTGATTGACAGTCATTACTTGTGCTTCTTCCACCAGCTGCTGGCGTCGCGCTGGCCTTTCGAAGCCACCGCGTTTGGCCTGTTTCTGTGCAAGTCGCTGCCCTTCCTGCAGAAAGCTTCTGTGGGCATCACGGTTCTCAACCTGTGCGCGCTCAGCGTGGACAGGTCAGTGCTCTCACTCTTAAGTCCCGTCAGGAGTCTTTCTCCAAAACACATCCGACATGATGTGTTTTTTGATTGTCATTGAGGTGGTTTTATTTCTGTTTTTATCATTCCGTGGAGACGTATGAAGAGGAGCAACTTTCTTCTAACGTCATGGTCAGCCGGAAACACCCGAGCGAAATGTCTCAGATATTTTCCTTCCATAGCTGAAAAAACAGATACTATCGCACAGCATTTTACGGAGGCAATAAAATCATTGGAGAAAAAAAATGAAACCAAACAATTGAATTGGCAATTAATCCATCTGTTACTACGCTGCTCTGGATCAGTTCGTCACACTTGTTTTCATTTTAATATATTTTTGGTTATTACGCAATGCAGAGATTTTCAGTACAATTCCAGTTTAATGACACAAAGACTCAGTTGGAAGGGACGAACAAACGCTTTCGGGAAAGCTCGATACTGACCGAAGTCATTTTGGTTTCCTCTGCATTGAAAGCTCCTCTGTGAGATACTCATCTAATGGAACGATTGCAGTCACGTATTTCACATTACGTGTATGACATATGCACTGCAACTATATATAAAGCTAATGTGAAAAGCATTACCTTAATGGCAAGTATACAGACAACTCACTTTTTACACTGCTATTACTACCTTGATAGAAATTCCCCGATGAATAAATGATGACCATGGAGTGCTGTAGCCGTCATCTCACTTTGTGCACCAGACAAAACTTCAGAGACAACAGAACTGAAAAGGCTCCAAGGTTCAACCAGGAAGTTCATTAGTTAGTTAATTAGTTAATGAGCTCTTTTCTAAGAAAAAGACTGCAGGGTTTTACAGTAGTGTTGAAGAGCAGATGCTCACCATTCATGTGCAGCGTATTTGGTGTGTGTGTGTGTGTTTGTTTGTGTGCATTAAATACTTGAGTCTCTTTTGTGTTTTTTCAACATTGGAGGAAGGCAAAAAGGTAGATACATTACCACTTAGTGAAATATAAATGCCGCCACGTTGTTCAACAGAGAAATTCAAATGTGTCATGAAAAATATATTGTTTTTGCCATAAAATCTTGATGCAGGATTTTACTAAAACATTTCGACAAGTGGTTTCCATTAATGAAACAAACAAGCAAACAAGTATTCAGTGGGTGGGAAAAGAAAAGCCGGTAGACAGACCTCTCTGCCAACATGGACCAGTCTGTTTGGAAGCTTAACAAAAAAAATATAAATATTACATATTGAAAATAAACAATTGATCATCTCGGCACATTAATTCTTAACATTTGGATATTTTTCGCTGACTGAGCAGTTTGTTGTGCTTGGTGTGCTGCCATGCATTGAGGAAAACACTGTTAGCTTTGTCAGTCAGGAGAGACAAAGTACATGTTGACTGTTTAATGACAAAAAGCAACGTAGACCAAAGAAACAAGCCGGTTATCGTGTCACATTATATACCTCAATAATCATCATTTGTTTCTCGGTGGTGCTACATCATAACCACTCCCGCTGTATAATAAGAAATCAATCCCCCTGTCATTTCCGAATACGTCTTCTCCGTCTGTTTAACCTGTCTGTGTGTGTGTGTCCTCCGCAGGTACAGAGCCGTGGCGTCCTGGAGCAGAGTGCAGGGGGTGGGCATCCCTCTGCTCACGCTCACGGAGATCGTGTCCATTTGGCTGCTGTCTCTCTTCCTGGCCGTGCCGGAGGCCATCGGGTTCGACATGGTCGACTTTCACCGCGGGAACCAAACCATACGCACCTGCATGCTAAAGCCCAAGGGTGGCTTCATGGAGGTACGCTGTCACGCCGCACTTATCGTTTATGGATAAGAGAATCGCTGCTCGGTGCTTTTGCTTGTACTCCGGCCAAGATGTGCTGTTTAGAACATTGTGTCAAGGCACTCGTTGGAATGGAAGTTGGGTTTTGTACTAAATAGACAAAACGTTACTGGACAAACGAGATAGGAAACCCACTGGCATTGAAACTCCACAAAGTGAAAATGCAATTCCAGCTCGAGCTTTCCGTTGTCTACAAAGAGTGTTTGTTTTGAGTCAGAGATTTAGTTTGGAATGATGATGCGCTATTTTGGTTGTAGGGGCGGACATTTGTAGAGTGTGACTACACAAGTAAAATATATCATCTGCAACATTCCCCTGCTTGAATAACTTAAGAGACAAGACATTTAGTACCAGCTCATAACTTCACGAGTACTCAACCAAAATCCCCTTGTGAGCCACAATGTGAGTATGTAATACCAAAAACAATACAAGTGGAGTATCACATGATACACCACGTGTACTTTCTCCCTCCATGTGATCCTGGACCCGCTCACATCGTTGGGACACATAATTGAGGGCAGGCCGAGTGCAAATACTGAGAACTGAAAGATAAGCAACATGTGGGTCCATTTATTCCATATGTGCAAAATTAAGTAATCTCTTTCACATAGCAGTGAAATCAGAGATCAGAGAAAAACTGGCCTTTTAACAGAATCTTTTAAGCTATGGAATCTTTATTTCACTGAATTTTGTTTTGTGGGTACACAAGGCCAAGGGACAACTACTAAAAATGAACAGAATGTGGAAGAGTAAATGAAAAGGACAGTTTGGACGGTGTATGTGAGAGACACAAACATCGTCCACACCGATCATGCATTTATTTTCAGTTTAAATACATCTGATCATTTGCTGTGCTCGTTTTCCTGCAGTTCTACAGGGATGCAAAAGACTGGTGGTTGTTCGGCTTCTACTTTTGCGTACCGCTCACCTGCACCGCCGTATTCTACACTCTGATGACCTGCGAGATGCTGAACCGCAGGAACGGCAGCCTACGGATCGCCCTCAGTGAGCACCTCAAACAGGTTGGACAATACTTCTAATATCGTTCCTGGAACACTAACGGTTATTTTTAAACTGTAACTTATCCTCAGAGTGTTTCTTTACAGAGTCAAATTGAATTGGCTCAGTCTGCCAGTTGCACAAACGTGGTCATGTCTTGTTTAGTGGTGGATTCACACCTGTTGCTTCTCTCTGCAGAGGAGGGAGGTGGCCAGAGCCGTTTTCTGCCTCGTCCTTATCTTTGCCCTCTGCTGGTTCCCGATGCACCTCAGCAGGATCCTTAAGAAGATGGTTTACTATCCGCAGGATAACAAGCGCTGTGAGCTGTTGAAGTGAGTTTTGGTGGAACAAATGTAACTTGAAGGTGTAAAGGACACAGAATATGCAAAAGTACATAGCACAGCACTGTTTTGTCATATTAAATGTCTTTTTGGCAGGTTAAGAAAATGTTTTCGCCCCCCCCCCCCCCCCCCCATGGGCTTTCAGATGTCTACGGAAAAATGAAAACAAATGGGGCTTTATCCGCCCGGAGTAATTACCCGTTGTGGTTTCTCATAAAAATAATCATAACAAATTCTTTCTTTTTTGGGGGCTTTTCGGTTTCCTGCTGGTCCTGGATATACCTCAGTAACAACCTTGTAAATCTCAACCTCCTGCTAAAACCCCATCATCCTCTACTTTGGTCAGCAAAAATTTAAAGAAACTGCTTCCAAGGTACAATGCTCTCCTACAACAGATGGAGTAGTGATGTCTGTCACGTACACACACACACACACACACACACACACACACACACACACACAAACAGATTCTGGCCAGTAAAGCAAACAGTGAACTTGACCCCTTTGACACATGAGGCTTATGATGGCGATGACATTTCTTGAGCAACATGTGAAAGTAGACTGATGATTTATGTATTCACTTGGTTGGGCTGAGATCACATATTGCAAGTGTCAAACAAAGATAAACCATGTCTCAAGTTTGCACATTATAGGATTTATCCAACCGGATAGCTTGGAAATACATCATCTGAATACACAAGTTACTGTTCTGGATAACAAAGTGTTTCGGCATAAAACAGATTCACGCTTCTGCTTTTGTACAGATCGAATCAATCAGATAAATAAGATACAATGCAAGAAGAATTTGCCTTCCTTTGGATCACTGTTTCCCCCTGTTCCCAGTACTTATGCACACCACTAGATTATCTAACCTTGATCATTTTATTACATTATTTCTTTCTAACTTTCTTTTCCCTCTCTCTCTCTCTTTCCCTCTACACGGTTTTCCAGTCGTGTTTGTGCTGCTGGTGTTACTCCGACAACCAGCTGAGCAGCATCGGACCCATGAATGGCACCAGTATCCAGTGTAAAAGCCCCGAGCCCAACAACGTCCACACTGATCGCAGCATCAGGAAGGACAGCGACTGATCTCATCTCATCTCTCTTTTTTCAAGCACTTCCATATATCCAGCAGCTTTTTCTTTTCTTTTTTTTCATAGATACAACAAATGCACACCTGTTAGAAAATCTACATCATAAAGTAGCACATCCTTTGCACCACTAAAGCAACACATGAGCCTGGCAGGGACGTATTAGGACAACTAATAACAGAGCGCACATTGCTATGAAGTGGCCGGAGCCACTCTTGGAGGAAGAGGGAGGGTGGGGGGGGGGGGGGTGGAAAAACTCTTTGTATTCCCCCACCCACCGACAGTGACGCCCGAAGAAAGGAAAGGGTGGCGGGGGTTAAGGGAAGAGAACAAGGACTCTTTGCAGGATGCAGCTGGACGGTGACTATGAATTACTCTCAATCCAAAGCATAACGCTCTATTTCTGCAAAAGGCAGCACAGCTGGGGAAGGATGCACGGAGCCCACAGAAGGGAAGAGAGACTGTCACAGGGAATGACGGCACACGAGTCTGTGCTGTCCCCATGAGTTCACCGCTCACTGATGGAGGAAAACAGGAAGGCGTGTTACCGACTTGAACAAAAAATTAATTTTCCATTAAACATGCAAGGAGTTGCGAGGCGTATCTCACTCGCAGTTATTATTCATGGAGCTGCTTTGTGGTGTAATTAGAAGAGAGTTTTGAAGTTTATTTGCTTCCCACTACCGGACAAAAAACGTTTCTGATTAATCAGGAAAAAAGGGGAAATTATTCTGATCAGAAATTGGGAAAACAAACTATTTCTGTTTAGTGAAATCATGATCCACAGACAGTGGGTTAATCAATGAACAAAACATTTGAGCACAGAATAATTTCTGATGTCAGAAGCCAAAAGTATCCCTGCAAAAAATCAAGTAGGGGGTTGCAACTCTGTAATTTGATGGAACATGAGAAGCAATTGATGAATACGAGGTAATACGTTATGACAGGTTTGATAACAGCGTAGATCAAATAAACAGGAATTAGACAGGAACGGGTGGGAATTTGCTTTTCTCTACACACTGTGAATTTTATCAAATATACTCAACGATACTTGTGACTTTTATGCCTGTATAACGGAATATATATATTTATGTATATATCTATAGTGTCCACTTTTATAAAGTGTTATGTTGCAGTAATAAAAAGTATTTTACGGAGACAACATTACCTGTGTAATGACGTAGGACGATTTTTAAAGGCGGTGGAGTTGTTAATGTTGGTGGAAGACGTTCCAAATATTAAAGCCCATACAGCCATAGGATTAGCTTTGTTTAGCATATCCCATTACAGGTCTTTTTTTTATATATATATACTGGAGAAAAGGGAAACTGTGCTGTTCTCTGTGAGGGTAAAAACACACCACTGCCTTTAATTGACAATTTGTGTTGTTTTTTTTCTGGTTAGCTGCAGCTATTAGCAGATTGTAGCTGGTGAGAAATCGCTGTGTACTCAGCGGATAACTGGCCGCTTATAACGTGTTCATCATTGAGCTTCATTAGGTGGTGGCGGGCCGCTTCTGTTAGCGTTGGACTGAGCCAAACTAGCTAGTTCCTTTCTGCTTCCAGTCTTTTACGCTGACCTGAAATATTTAACATTTGACATTAACATTTGAGTCGCCCTAACCTTCCCAATCCAACGCTATTTACACGCTACAAACGACAAGGAAAACAAAAACGGCCAATGTTAGCTTGCTGCGCGGAAGACAGGTCGCAGCAGAGGTTTTGCTCGCGCGCTGGTTGACGTCGGCGTGACGTCAAACTGCTTGCGAACCGGCCCGCTGCATTCTTTTAGACGGAAACAGGGTGAAACATAAACACTTTGAAAGAGGTTGACACCGTGTCACTCAGCGCCCGGCTGTCGTCTGTCCGCGCGGATTCATATCAAATGCTTCTATTGAAAATTACTTGTTGACAGTTTTTATGCTCAAATCATATTCCACAACCACAAACTTGACTGCCTTATACTATTTGATATGTGAATATATGTAAACGTGTGTGTGTGTGTGTTTGTGAGGTAGCATGAGTGTGTGTGTTTATGCGAGTGCTCTGTGTACAAGTACTTGCACTTCATTAGCTGGAGTATCTTGCACATGTGCACAATATAAGAGGGGATAACTGTATGCTACTTTCTGTTTTGTTTTACCACTATCCTTTGGAGCAATTCATTATAATCTTTTAGAAAAAGGAATGTATACAATGTTTGTTGTCATTTATGCTGCTGCTTAAACCAATAAATCAATTTCCATCCCCACAGCGTGGAACAAGGAGGTTTATTTCCCCGTACTGGTTTCCCCGGGAAGTCAAGGGGGCCCCTTCTGTTTTTCATTTGCGTCTGTGAGAAAGGGGCGTCTGGGAGTGATTTTGAAGAACACTGTGACCTGCCCGACAACTGAGCCCTCAGGGCTGCTAATGTCAGCAGAGAGGATGTGAACAGCTTGGATGGTGGGAATTGGATACATAAAACTTTTCATCTGCGTTACTGAGAGGGTTTAAGAAAGGGAGTCCGACCATTGAATCATCCGTGTATTAGTCATGTCGGCTTTTGATGTGGAAAGAATATGTGTATCCTAATTAATACCATAAAAAGTCGTACTAAAGTAATACAAATGTTTTCAAAACTTAAAGTTCAAAAGTGGCACTCGGTATATTTTTCTTTTGGTGTAAAGACGTTTTTATAGTTCTTTCAGGAGAGAATTTCTCAGAATTCAGTGTCTACTTTGCTGTGGGCGAAGGTGTCATGAACCCCCGATTATGCTCTCGAACCTCTGGAAAAAGAGGCATCCGCCAGAGCCGAGTAGTCACATACAGAAAGTTGAAAAACATCCAAGTCAAGCAAAAGATTGTAGAAGCTGTGGCTTTATCGGACATTGGCCTTTTATTTGTTTTAGTGGGTTGGTGATAAATCTCAGCCAGGTCATAAACTTGATGAAACTGCTCCATATTCCACATATGAAATCATCCCACAATCAGGTTGCAATAACCCCGGACAGAATTGCTCAAAACATTGAATGAATCGCAGGAATAAAAAAAACAGAATGTTAGGAGGAAACGCGTTGGAACATATTGATGCTTTTTTGGGAAATGTGAGAGAGAGAGGAAAAAAAGAGAGTTTGGGCTAATTTAGCATAGTGGAATTTGGTGGGAACCTTGTTTCTTGCCAAAAGTGATTTGAATAAAACTCCAAAACAAATAACAAAGGATCACGAAGGTCAAAAGTGCCCCTCCACGCAAAGCTTCGTCAGATTTGACAGCTTATAGCAAACAAGTTCTCAAGACCAATCTAAATTCATGACACAGACAACAAGGAATTCTCTATTAGGGAATAAAAGATTCTGTGATTTACATTTTTATTCTTTAGATATTACAATATGATAACAGTGATGTTTTTCTGGCTATGAGGGAACTAATACAAGCAAAATAAATACTTTTAATGTTGTTTGTTTTACTAAACTTTTACAGTATCTTTATGCAATCAAGATTAAATGTTCTTAGAGTTGCTGAACTTTATTTCAAATCCAATATCAAGCACTCAGGCCTCAAAAAGGTAACGTCCCCCTACTCCAGTGCTTCAGGGGCCCCAGAACCTCCAGGTTCCCGCTATGTAAACTGGTTTGTGCTTAATTGATTTCCACTTTGTTTGTAAGTATAAAACACTTGAGGCCCTGTCTTAATAAGAGGCTTTGTGTGAAAATCACATTAAGTAACTGTTACGTTTTGCGTTTATTTGGTCAGAGCCTGTCAGATTGTGGTAAAAACTTGAGGCTGAATTCAGACCCTTCATGGTCTGACTGTTACAGACACATGACTGGCAATGACAACAATGGCCAAACAGCTTCTTTTTTAAAGGTCGACAATATTGTAATTTGTATTAAAACACCCAAACCAAATGGATGTATTCCACAAATAAACATTTTGCAAAGGGTGAACAATAGCTTTTGAGCATTAAAGAGGAATAAATTCCATATAAAGTAACGCTGTAAATGCATAAGAGCTCAGGCCTGCAGCCCTTGATTTTAACCGCTGTTGTAAGAGCTTCTTTGACTCCATCCAACTTCTTACGTTGTTTTTCAGGAACAATTGAACTGAAGTGAACAGCATCAGTGAGAATGAACATTTCCTGACACAACGACCTACGGCAGACACATCAAGATAAATAAGTAATTGTTGAACGATGGCAGTCCTGCGTATTCCTCTGACAAAGGAGGTGCACTTTGGAAGATACATTTTACATCTCAGGATTCAGTGTGTCTCCTCCTTTGCTGTGCGTTCATTCCTCAGATCTATCCTTCTGCTTGTCCTGTCTAAGTGTGTCTCCTGCAAGGCACACACTGAGCGATGGTGTACCAGCCCTACAGTCATGGCTATGATTCAGCGAGACATAACGGACGCCACATCCGCTATGCTGGAATCTGTTTGGGATCTGATCAAACACAGCATATGTTTATCTACCCTGCCCTCACACGGCTTGTACCCTGCATGCCGCTTTGCATGGCAATCCCTCCGAGCAATCCGCCATGGCACTCGCTTGCACGACTTGTGGCGAAAAACATTTCTAATTCATAAAAGCCAAAAGGACCAATTAAAAATTCATGCACAATCTGTCCTGCTACAGCCAGTGATTTCTGTGACTGTGGGGCAGCGGAGACGTGCAGCAACGGAGACGAAAGTTCTGCCTCCCCTCATTCTAGACTTAAGACACAAAAAACACAAATGGGTTGAAGCGTGTGCACAAACACGTGCGCGCACGAGAACTGAAGGTGATGAGGAGGTTCTGATGGGTATTTTTGTACTATTTTGTTATTGCGGTTTGAAGAGAATTGCATAACAAAAACAGGGCAAATTGTTAAAGGAGTTCTTTAAAACAGGAAAAGTTGAAAACAAAAATGATAATATTCTGTTTAAAACATGTACCTGGCTTTAGTAAGAGATACATTTTTACAATGATAAAATGGAAAGTAACACATTTGTATGATTCTTGTTTTTTGGTATCTTGACTTTCGGCTCTAACAGGCCTCTCTCTCTGAAGACCGTGACGTGTCACATGACAATTATAGTTGTAAATAATGAAATTAAAGATCGCTGATTTCCATTTAGCTCCTTTGGTTTCAGGTTGCTGAACCATTTTTCATAGTGACTCACTGGCTTACTGGGAGATTGCTAAAGAAAAAAAGCCATTGTAAATGTTATTGGTAACACCTGTGCTTTTCCCTCAAGTTAAAATGGTTGCTGTGGACTAAATGGATACAGTTTTACTGACTTTATAACCAACACATCATATTCAGTTGTTACCACAATATGTTCATCGTATGTTTCAACTATAAATTAAAGTTTGTTTACTTATCTAATATTTTATTCTAACTGGCATCTGTGACCAGTCTGAGTCTACAACATTGGATTTTAAGATTTTAGTTCTGGTATGCTGGAAATCTTTAATTCACATTGCCATCTGCTGGCGAAAGAAAAGATCATGTGACCAAAAACATTTCTCCGGAACCAAACCAGAGCTGCTGAAAGAGAGAGTCGCGTCAACGGTTCAAAGGAGTGCTCCACACGTGATTAAGAAGTCCTCAGACTTGGGGATTTGGAGGGGGGGGGCAATTTGAATGCACACATATTGGTAGAAATTGTTTTTATTAGAATTTGCTAATATTTGGTAAGGTAAGTGTGTGCAACAGCCAATCACCTGCCTTGTTGAAATACAGTATTTTAGTATGAGTGTCCTTGTTTAAAGGCAGAAGTGTGTGAGATACAGTTCCATCAAGAGGTGCAACTGCAGTTTGTATTCCGCTGTGACTATAGCTTTAACTACCGAGAACTATACTCTGTTATGCCAAGAACAACAACAACAACAACTACAAAAAAAAGATCCGCAGAGATGACGTGACTCTTATTAAATGGCTCCGAACCGCACAATAAAGGGAGGAAAATCCTCTTCATCAATTGGCTAGTTACCTCGATTCAACCAATGAGATTGTGGATTGTAGGCGGGACCACGTATGACGCATAAACCAGGAAGTATACACTCAACAGCGATTACTTTTTTTGGAAAACTTTTACGATCGTAAACCTTCTAAAAAGACTGTTATGTGTTGTTTCATCTAAAGAAGTGGAAGATTTATCTGACTGGAGTGTTCCTTCATTGAAGTAGACATGTATATACTTTCGATGGTTCAGACAGGACAATCTGCTTCGTTTGTTTACATGGGGAACAAAAACTGACCAGCTAACGTTAGCCACCTAGCTTCATTAAATCGAGTCATATGAGCTCGTAATTTTCCAGCGGCTTCTTCCCCGGGGATGTAAACTTAACGTTAGAGGAGGAGACAACGTGGCCGTACACTGGACACGCGTTGTCCTGGGTCCTTTTTAAACAATGCGGAGCTGACGTTTAATGTGTCGAGCGTCAGGTCACCTCTTTGGTCACCGGAACCTGCGGCTAGTTCACGATGCCTTGCTCATGCGGCAACTGGAGAAGATGGATTCGGCCTCTGGTCGTCGTGCTTTACATTTTGTTGCTGCTAGTCGTTCTGCCTCTGTGCATATGGGACATGCAAAAGTCAGGGGTCAGTTCTAAAAAAACGAATAGATACATGCTAATGAGTTTATGAGATATAAGCTCCACTGTGTTTGACTTTTAGTATTTACTGTTTGCATTCTGATGCTTTGGTCACTGCAAGAAATCTTTATCAAATCATTGGAGTCTGTCGTTAACCCCTAAGAAAAGCATTATCAAGATCACATTATTATTATTATTATTATATATGTATATCTATTTTTATTTCAGGTAGTCACTAAATAACGTGTTTTTCTTAATTTTAATCCAGTATAATCTAATAATATAACATTTTTCAACATGTTGATTTCAGTTTGAAATAGTCATACAGGTCTGGCAGATTATTTCACACTCTGAAAAAAAGTTGTGGTTCTATTTCATTTGAGTTAAGAACCTGTTTTTACCCTCGGCTTACTATGGGATGTAGAAAAGTTCCATTTTCCTGCCAGTTGCCTAGCGTTTGATTAGACAAGGTTTTTCCAGCGTTGACTGTTTCTCTCTCTGTTTAATAACAGGTCGGCACTCATAATAAAGCATGGTTCATCGCCGGGATATTTGTGTTCATGACTATGCCCATATCGTTATGGGGCATCCTCCAGCACCTGGTTCACTACACCCAGCCAGAGCTTCAGAAACCCATCATCCGGTAAACCATTCAACAAGCATGAGTTCCGTGAACGCTAGTCTGAACGTGCTTTCTGATTGATTGTGTGTTTTGTATCTCGCTTTAGGATATTATGGATGGTTCCGATCTACAGCTTGGACAGTGTGAGTTGTGTGTAATCTAATCAGTGCCATGGTGCAACACAAGAGTAATCCGGCATCCACAATAACCAATTTCACATTCCCTTGTGATGTTACCGCCAGTTGTACCATTAGCAGAATGGGTTCAAGCTTTAAAGTTCTTTACCCCCGCATCCCGTGTAATCCTGCTCCTCTTTTGACATCTCACAGTGGATCGCCTTAAAATATCCAAAGATAGCGATTTACGTGGACACGTGCAGAGAGTGCTACGAGGCCTACGTCATCTACAACTTCATGACCTTCCTGCTGAACTACCTGGAGAATCAGTACCCCAGCTTGGTGTCCATGCTGGAGTCCCAGGAGCAGCAGAGACATCTGCCCCCTCTTTGCTGCTGCCCGCCCTGGCCCATGGGAGAGTAGGTTTCCTTTGGAAATGTGTGTGTGTGTGAATAGCAACATGTTTGTATCATGTACTTTTAGCTTGCTTGCGTTTGTTGAACGTTTGAGAGGGAAATGTTGTTCTTGGTTAGCGTGTCTCTTCCTCAGTTCATTTTGTCCCCAGGATCAGTTTTGTTCCTTTGAACTGAAGGACCAAAAAAACTGATTTTACATTTTTCAGCATCAGCTATGTTTTCTAATTTTGTATTTCATAAATCTTGCCTGTTAAATGTTTTAACACATTATAGTTGTGTTGTTTGTCATAGAGCACGATCAAAAAAATTTTAAAAGTCCCCACGTTTCCGATGACCATTAGGGATTGGGCTTGAGATTCTACTCCTATAAGCAAACTACTTCTAATCATACATGTATTTCCTCTGCAGGGTTTTGCTGCTGAGATGCAAACTGGGAGTGTTGCAGTACACAGTTGTTCGACCCGTCACAACAGTGATCGCTTTGTAAGTGAGCTCTGCTCTTCACGCACTCCATTTTTATTTCTGAATACCGTTGGGAGCATTTTTTTTTTTTCTTTCCCCTCAAGGATCTGTGAGCTTTGTGGAGTCTACGATGAAGGCAATTTCAGTTCAACAAATGCATGGACGTACCTGGTCATCTTCAACAATATTTCACAGCTGGTAACACTGCCATTGTTTGTTTGTTTGTACATGCAGCATGTTAAGAAATGAGATGGTTGAATTTGTTTTTCTCCCGGTCTAGTTTGCCATGTACTGCCTGGTGCTGTTCTACAGAGCTCTGCGAGAAGAACTGAGTCCGATCAAGCCGGTGGGCAAATTCCTGTGCGTCAAAATGGTGGTGTTCGTCTCGTTCTGGTAAGTCGACGACGCGACCTCTGCCTGTCTGGACGATACAACTATATGTTCAAATGGCATCAGATGATCGTAGCTGCCGACAATCGTCATTTTGTCGACTCTTCAAGGCAAGCGGCGTTCATCGCGCTGCTGGTGAAAGTGGGCATTATCTCAGAGGCGCGTACGTGGGAGTGGGAGAGCGTGGAGGCCGTGGCCACGGGCTTGCAGGTAAGCTAAAGCGGAACTAGATGGGGAAATAAATCCGACCCGAAATGTCTTGAGTTTGATCTAAACACCCGAGTTATTGAATAAGTACATCTGGCCTCCCTAACCCCCCGAAATCCACACGGTCCCGTTGTCCCTCAGGATTTTATCATCTGTGTGGAGATGTTCCTGGCAGCCATCGCTCATCACTTCAGCTTCACCTACAAGCCTTACATCCAGGAGGCCGAGGAGGGTTCTTGCTTCGACTCTTTCATGGCGATGTGGGACGTGTCTGATGTCAGAGCGGACATCTCTGAACAAGTCCGCAATGTTGGTAGGTGCCCCCCCCCCAACCTCCCTCCCCCCGGAGTGCCGGATTCCTTGCACAGTGTCGCCGGCCATAACCTGGCCTCTGATCTGTCTGTTCGCAGGGAGGACGGTTTTGGGTCGGCCAAGGAAGTCGTACTTCGGTGAGGATCCGGGTGACGGCGAGCGATCTGGCCTGCTCTCTTCGGGCTCCCAGGACGCCATTACGGAGGCGGCGTCCAACCCCGTTTCCCCCAATGGTCAGTACCAGGGCCTGGGCAGGACCCTCACACCGCACTCTGCGTCGGCGCCGGCCGGGCTCAGCTCGGCGCCGTGGGATGAGGGACCCGAGGCTGGACTGGAGGAAACCCCGGAGGAGGGAAGGAGCAGCCCCGGCGAAGAACCGACGGAAGCAGACCTCATCGTGATCACCTAGCGGGTTTCCTTCAGACATCACAGGACCAGACGGGCCTCTGACAGCTCCAAGAATGTTCAGTGAAGTTATGGCACTCAACAACTGAAAGAGAATGTGCGTTTTCTGCCGATTTTGTGCCGCTAGCGAGCGACGTGGCTCGGGGGGGCTGTGAAGGATGGTTTTTAATTCATCATAGCTGGGAAAGATTTAACGACCCCAAAAAGCACACTCATTGTGTTCCTTGATGAGACGTGTGTGTGTGTGTTTTCCAAAAAGGAAATGTCATGATCTCAGATGTGACAGTTGAATGAAAGCCAAATATGCAACTTTTCTTCACCATATCTTGATGGTAAAGTGGTTTCAAAAGAACAATTGAAATGAGCCATCGTAAATACAAGTTACGATATGAAAGCACATTAAATATCCAGAATAATCTTTTCTTTTTTTTTTGACTCTGGCGGGATGAAGAGATGAATTTAGGAATGAAAAGTTTAAATTAAACTGTTTAATTTGTATGTTTTAAAGGTAAGCCTGCTGAATGATGCGTCTGAGCAGTGTGATCAATATTGATACGATGTATTTACTGCAAGTACAGTCCAACCATTTAAATACCGTTATAAACGACACATTAATAGATGTCTAATAACTCTTTATTTAAGCTTTTACTCGCTTTATCAGCCGTGGAACTAATCTTTCCACTACATCCATTTAGCATTTTATACCACAATCAGCAATATTTTGCTGATGTTCTCCATCACTTTTATTTTGAAGTTACTGCAACTTTCCTCCCTAGCTTTGTTTTTATTGTGATTTACATGGATTCGTGCAGGTTTGTCATTTTTATGTAAAGGAACATCAGTCTCTGTTAAAGAATCAAAAGCATAATCTTTATTGTCTAACTTGAGAATGCCTTATGTGCTTTTATTCTTTTAATAAAATTGATGGTATTACATTAGATGATGTAAATGGTTCTACATATTTTAATTCCATCTCAAAGGCCTCATTAAATCTGATTAACTACATTAAGTGAGTTCTTTTTTTCTTCCATTTATTAAAGGTCGTTTTCTGGGGATCGTAACAAACAAAATCAACACCTGTAATTATGGGAATATTTGTTTTATACTGACAAACATTAGGTACACAGTATAAACATTCTATGTTCTCATAAAATTTTAAAACATGACTTGTGTCACAAATTATTCAGGATCAAGACAACTCCCCATAAAGAGGGAACGTGTGGCTCATGCAGGCTTCTACTAAATCTCAAATCGGAGATCGAACTTCGAACACCGGGAATACCCGTTATGAAAACGGTACCAGAAAAGGAATGTAGAGCATTGGATGCACGTGTACGTAGCCTCCGCATCCCTGAGGCCTGAAATACTGAACCGATCGCGACAGCTTATTGTTCCATTGGCCCGGGTGTGTTCTCTATATGCGCCGATATGGAGATGGCGCTCTTGTGCAGCTTCACGGCGAGGCGGACCTGGTCCCCGGCTCGGACCTCCACGGGCTGCTGCAGCACGACGGCCGCCTGCTTCCAGTGAGAGTTCTGGCTCAGGGTGCTGACGCTGATCTCCTGGTCCAGGTAGATGTGGTACCAGAAGGGAATGGCGGTTATTCTGCCGGCAGATGTAGCCCGCACCTGCGAAAAGGGGATTGTGGCTTAAGAAGATACGCATGGTACCAGCGGGGGGGGGGGGTCAGGGTTTAGGGCCCTAAACAGAGCCACAAAGTTAGCTGGAGTGGAGGGGAAAAAGCTTAAATGGGATCAGATCACTCAGCACATCATGTTACTTTGATGTTTGAAAATGTGGAGAGTGACGAATAGTCCGGAAATAATTTATTGCTCCGAAATGTCAAAAAGTTGGATTGTGCTGGTACCAAAAAATAGGGAAAGTAAATGTATTCTGAAGGAGACGTGCACACTGTGTGTCAACAGGGATGACTTACATCTGGGTTTTTGGTGCACTTCATTTTGAATCGCTCACCTTTACTTCCCTGTTGGTGTAGTTAACGGTGGAATCCATGAGGTCAAGAACAAAGAGTTCCACAGACTCACTGAGATGTCTGCACTCCAGTGTGGAAAAGTCCAAAAACACGTGCACCGGTACCTTGAGAACATGAAAGATGAGCACAGGGTTAGCGACTTGTTTGCAACGGATGAAAGAATCTGGTGATTTTGTCAATTCAGGAACCACATTGTGTGAAAACCAGTATAAGACAAAGAGCTAGTGGGACCTGATAGGGACGCTACACAAAACGGGTTGGCACACAGCTTTGTTTGAGCACAAGAGACATCGTCATTGCAGCTCCCTCAGCTTTTTTTAATTTTCCACTTTCACAAAGCCGTGTTCCTTTTTTAAATGCATTTTCCCTTGTAAGAAAAAGAAAGATTTTCATTTTCTTTATAGCATTATCTAAAAAGAATCACGCCAACGCTGACGGAGCTGTTGCCGGCACTCACCGTCTCCAAAACCGTCACCTACCCACATCAGGTTTGAATTCTTTGTGTCAGCAGGTAATCACTGCTTGGAAACATCCCCTCATCACTTAACAACGAGGACGCGGCGGCGCGGCAACCGCCTCGGAAGCCGAGGGACAAACCCGAGTGGCGGCACAGAAAGTGTCACAGTTTCCCTTCCCGGGGGAACAAAAGGAGCTTTCCTCCTCCCCGTCACAGTTGCGTAGGCCTCAGATCCGGCTGTTTGATGTGCTTGATGTAATGTGTACTGATGGATTCAGGTAAGAACGTCTCGGGCCTTGCTGTGTGTGTGTGTGTGTGTGTGTGTGTGTGTGTGTGTGTGACAGTTGTGCTAGAGAGTGTGCCCTCCACCGGAGGGCTTCAAAGACAACATCTGTTAAAACAAACGACTGTCCCGCGTGGGTCCTACCAAATTAGAGCACAAACACAATGCTGGGGGGGGTGGTGTCATTTCCAGCCCAAATAAAAGAAAAATAATTCAAAGAGGTTTTTGCAGCTTCTGAATACAGCTGGGAATCACACATCAAAGAGGAGTGCACAGCAGAAAAGTCCTGGACCGCAGTGAAGTACGCCTTGACTGCATCCCGCCTGCGTGAAACTGGTAACATCGACTTCACGGACACGAGACAGAATCCAATACTATGGGCCTGTGATGCACAAGAGGAAGATGTAGCACCGACGGCGCCGCCGACCTTTCGAACGCTCTGAAGACCCTCAGCGGGAGAACCGGGGGAACCATGATGTGCTCCCGAACATCTTTGCATGTAATTGGGTTGAATAATTGAACCTGCGTATTCTTGTACTCACGGTGAACTGATTGATGAAGGGAGCGATATTGAATCCCAGCGTGGGCTCCTGACCCTGGACGGCACTTTCCATCAGCAACGTGTCCGACTCCACCAGCATGCCGTGCACCACGATCTTTGCTGGGAAAATGCTTCCTCCGTCCTCCAGCAAACACCTGATGCAGATGGTACAAATACATGCCAGTGCGAAGCAAAGCAAACGAAAAGTCCTTTCTGAACGGCCCACCCGGCCTTACCTGGCCAGTGAAGCTTTCTCCATCAACTTCTGTCTGATGAGACCACAGGTCTCCACGCAGTCCAGCATGATGGCGCTCCACAGCTTCTCCCTGGACGGCCTCTTCAGCATCCCGTGCTCGTCCTCCATGTGGTTGAGCCAGAACTCCAGGTGGTGTTCCGGCACGCTGTTGGAGCGGGCCAGTCTCCTCAGGACCTCCTGCTGCTTGGTCTTCTCCACGGAGCTGAAGGCCTTCACGTGGCCGAGGCCGGCGGCGATGAGGGAGAGCAGGGAGAAGCCCTCGGACACGTCGAGGACGTAGAGCAGGTCGCTGCCGTCCGGCGAGTCGCCCTCCGAGTCTCGCTCTCGGTTTTGGCACTGAGCCCGCAGCTTGGGGAGGAGTTTGGCCAGCGCGGCGTAAAAACTCTGGTGGTAATCCCGATTGTTCAGGAGCGCCATTTCGGAACATTCCAGCATGCAGAAGCCTTTCGTTTGATCGTGGTCGGTCTGCAGACCCGCCAGCGCGCTGCACAGCTCTGCCTCCGCGTTCGAAGCGGAGTTGGCAGAGTCCTGCGGGTCGGGCCGCCGCTCCAGACGGATTTCACGGCCGTCCCGCAGCACGGCCACGCTGCAGAGCCGCAGGAAGGCGTCTCTGCAGGACACCTCAACGACCAGCTCGTCCTCAGGTTTCAGGACAAAACCTGAGAAGAGGAATGAAGGGGAAAACACTGACTGGGCCCGTCAGGCCAATCTCACTTTCGGGACCAACTGAAATGTACTGGAGGCGCAGAGAAGGGACGACTATCAGGTGCTGAGAGTGGATTTAGATGTCTGGGGTTGTTTCATATCTTTTTTTATTTAAAAAAAAAAAAAAAAGCTGCCTTACTTGACTTCTCTTTAATACTTTTTACTTCCCCGCATTCAATCAAAAAAATGGAACATTGCACACAATTGCAAAAAACAAATGTATCAGCAAAAATAATCCACAGTGCTAAACTCTAAATTAAATTAATGAAACATCTTTGAGCATAAATAGGACTTGTAAAAAATAAAAATATAAAAAATATAAAAAATCCACAAAATAAGAAGAAAGAAATACAGATGAATAAACAATAAGACTATTTCTAACCCTGAGGGGGCTCTAAGGACAGAGGGTGCGTCGTGCTCTACAGATTGTAAATCCCTTTGAGGCTGACTGGACAATTGAGACAGCGAGTGAAGGAAAAAGCCGCGGATGCATAAGGCGAAAGGGAGCCCAACGTCGCAATGAGATTCAGGGGACCGGCTGCAAAGAGAGAGGGGAGAGGGCGGGGGGGCGGGGAGGGGGACACACAAAGGATTCCTACCGGAATAACATCTGCTCACGTCTTTATGTCAGCGCGCCGCTTGTCAGAGGCGTTTGGGGAAAATGCATATTTATCGCCTATAAGAATTTCATGAACACTAAAGAGTGTCACAGGCGATCGCGGCGCACACGTCACGGTCGACCGGGGAGACGGATGTAGGTGATCACCGGGAGAGGCGGCGGCGGCGGCCCGACGCTGCCTCCGCCAATTAGCAGCTGGGTGAAACGCTGTTGAGGCCTGTCTGAGAGAGAGACGGCGCACGGCAACGCCAACTGGAACATGTCACCTCGTGTCAGCAGCTATGAAGCTCGCAGCTGAGAAATACCTTCAGATTCTTCTTCAAGTTTGTTGCTTAACGCACATTAGATTTCTTTTGTTTGTGTCTGTGAAATGTCATTTCTAAACTGGCGTATTGTGGAGTTCATGATGATATTTAAGTAGTAATTAAATGGCACGTTGTTAAGACCTTCATGCATTAAAATATGTATAAATCAAACTATTTTCACATGGAGCTCAACTAAAATTATTAAAAACCTGAACTCAAGGACGCAGAAAAATAGATTAGAAACTAAAATAATTAACATTGTTACATAGTGGATGCTTGTCTCCAGCACACACTGCCCTCATCTGATGGAACATGGAAATGCACATGACATATGGCACGACAGAACACAGGCTGAAAAACTAAAATATTTTTCATGGCATGGTAGCGACAATTAAAAGGACAATTCCGCAGACACACCGTAAGCGACAGACACAGCGCAAACCGACCCTTAGGCCTGAGTAAAACATCCGCTGTGGGCTTCCCAGACTCCCCCACAGCGGCTCCCCGTACCTCCGTGGGATCTTACCATCGGTGCTGTAGACGGGGTAGATGGCCTGCTCCCAGCACGTGTCCTCCTGGGGTCCGGTGGACAGACTGCTCTCCTCATCCAGGTGCAGCTGGAACCACACGGCCAGAGCGTCCAGCTGCCCCTCCTGAGTGACGGGCATGCGGATCTGCTGGACCGCCCTGGAGCTCAGCCCCTCCAGCTCCTACAGGTCACCAAAACCAAACCAGAGAGAAGATAAAGGTTTGTCGTAACAATTAGGTTGTAAATAAAACATCCGAGTGCAGAAGGTTTGATTTTGACAATGCAGTTGTGCATGTTATCTGCATCTTTTTACACAGCGTGGTACGTAACGCACGGCCAGCGTATCACTCTGTTAACCCACCCGCAAATGGAGCCACTTCAAAATCACAATGTGCAAAAAGGTAAATTGCAAATATCATGGTGTGCTTATATTCATAGGAATATATATGGGAAAAGCCTTTTGGAGCAGGTAATGAAGTAGGAATCTCTGTGCGAGAAAATATCTCAAACAACTTACAATACAAACAGAAACCCTCCAAATGCGCAAGGACACACATGCAAGAGGAAAACTATTACTACTATTTTTCCCTCCTGTTACATTCATATTGTTGGTGACCAAACGGATCATTGAAGCTGATTTGGACAGAAGTACTGAATAATAAGAGTTTGCCTCGCTGATTCTAGACACAGTATATCACTGCTGGACAAATATCAACTAAGGATCCTCCCGGCGCTGTTCAGGAGACAAACACGGTGTCTCCTGTTGGCCAGGTGTTCATTGTGAGCCAATAAATCAGTCAACAATCCCTGCAGGCCTTTAACTGAATAGTAAGTGGCCGCTGACGTGCAATATTTCAGCCTGTGAGGCCGCCAGTGTGTTGGAAAGGTAAATTAATTACATTATTGACTCGAGGCAACGTACCAAACATTGAATAACAGGCATTCTCACAGGGCTGCATGTCAGACACACAGGAAAATGTGAAAGTAAAGTAAAAGCGCTTTAAATGAACATGAGCCGAGTTCACCCTCATAGTTTCCGCCCACCTGCACGTCGTTGAAATCGATGTTGAGGGCCGTGAACGGCTCAGTGAGAGCTCGGTACCCGCCGGGCACCCTGCTAAGTCTCTCGGTGGTGTAAGGCTCCATGGAGTCGTCCGGCTCAGGGCTGCAGCTCACGGGGCTACAGAGCTGCCCGGCGTCGGCGATGGACAGACCTCCCACCTCCGACACGCAAAGCCTGCGTGAGGAACAGACAGCCGCTGAGCGGTCGGCCCGGACGCCTCGTGCCGCGTGTTTGGAGAACGGGGGCCTCACCTGTGATGCCTGCGGATCTCGACGCTCTCCAGAGCCATACCGAACACGGTGGCTCCGGCGGGGATGACCCGTCCCGTCGCGGACTGATCCTGGAATTCGTTCTCGCCTCTCTTCAGGACGACAAACATGTGCTTTTCACGAAACTACCCATTAACAACGGCCCTCGACGACACACGTGTAAGGTCAAAGTTCACCGGTTACATTAACATGGCTACGGCATGTGTTGACATGAGTAAAATGACACAAATTGTACTATAGAGATATTTATGAAGCCTGAGTTGACTAAGAGCGCCTTAAAGCTGCCGTTGATAGCTTGAAGAAAGCGCCAGAGATGGAACGTTTGATCAGGATTCACAGCAACGAGTGATCGGTTGTTTTTCTTAAGGTGCAGGAGGCTCTTGCAGCCACTAGAGGGAGGCAGAGCAACCTGCTTTTCCACAGATTATCTCTCATGCAGCACTGTGCTAGAAATGTAAGCAAATAAAAGCAATTTTTGTTCTAAATACTTTCCTGTCCCAGTCAAAACATGTGTGGCATCAGTATTTACCACTCCGTGTCTTTCAAACTAATCTAACACATTTCAAAAATGTTTACAAGGGTTATTTTTAGGATTTGGAACCGTGTATTTCATTGGCAAACTGTAATAGATTTTTGGTAGAAACATCAATACTGCAATGTGCCAACTGCAAAATAGAGTTCTGCTTCCCGTCCCGTGTTTGTGTTCGATGAGTGAAGTCACCTGTGGAGGAAGCAGGAGGTGGTGCCAAGCGTGAATAAGGCTCTCGATGATACCCTCTCCAAACAACCCTGCGTCTACCGTCTCCGTCACCACCAGGGACACTCTGAGAGATCCAAAATATCAAACAGAACGAAAACGTGAGAAATGCTACTCTGGCTGATCATGCAAAATGTTGTTAGAAATTGCACCTGTGCGGGATGTCCTTTGGCAACTCCATCTCCAGGGACTTCTTATGCAGGATCTTGATGCTACCGTCCATCCCGTTGGCGCTCAACACTTCACAAGCCAGTTCATACATCGTCTTGGACAGTTCACAGGCGTACACCTCAGCAGCTCCGGCCTTCTTGGCGCACATACTGCCCGCAGAGAATTAGGAAATTAGAACAATAGCACCGGTTCAATAAACGCAGGTGCTAGAAATAGATCCGGGTTTGAGTTGGTAACACACAAACGGAGCGCACTCCGTGACTTGAAGAATAGAAAAGTTTCCAAACTCTCACGGAAAATCTCTCACCCAAGGATCCCGGTGCCGGTACCTATGTCAAGCACGGTGTCGCAGCCGCTCTGAACCGCCTTGTGGATGGCCTGCTGGTACTTTCGGTTCCTCCCGTGGTCGTTGAGCATTAAGAAATGCCAGCGCTCCACCAGCCAGTTGGCCACGCGGTAGAAGTTCTCCCTGGCTTCCGGATAGTCTGGTCTCAGCTTCAATGCTTTATGGAAATGACCCGCAGCTTCGTCTCTGAAGCCCATTCTGGATGGCAAAAGGCAGGAGGAAAGCTGAATCATTCTGTTATTACTCAAGTGGTGACAGAATTTGAAAAAAATACATGCAACTAAGCACTGATAACGCTAATGCAGATGAGGAGGATACCTGAATAAGTGTTCACCCATACTGTTTAGGATGACCTCATCGGCGGGAAACAGTTCCAGCGCTTGTTCGTAACAGTCAAAGAGGTCTTGAATGCGGCCCACAGAGTCCAGCTCTTCTGTCCATTTGAAGAGAGTGAATCTAAAGGACTCCTAAAACAAAAAAAGCTTTAGATTCTAGCAGAAGTAAAAACAGACCAGTGTGTGTGTGTGTGCATGATGTTATGTTTGGCAGCGGTTGTAGGCAGACAGGTTATCAGTGTAAACAGTCATTACCCTTGCAAAGTCCTTAAACATAGGCGCAAGGTTGAGGACCAGAAGGTAGTGCACGAACGCGGTGCCGTAGTCTTGGTTGAAAAGGCACTGCTGGGCACTTTCGAGGGAACTGGAGACCAGCTCGTTCTTAGCAGGGTCCTCTCTGCGTCGCCTCCGCGTCCTCCTGCCATGCTTCGGCCTTGCACTGGTGTTCGGCATCCCTAGAGAGAAAAGAAAAGGGAGAGAGGAGTCCATTAGAACATTATAGTGTCTGATATGTGAGATACAGATCAATAACACTTATAAGACAATCGGCATCAACATCCAATTGTAACATAAAGCCTGTAGCCTATAGAAATGTATTTCAGAGAGAAAAACTGGTGAAAAGGAGTCAAAACAAAGTCAATTTTTTAATCTTGAAATCTCATAGTTTTGACTCGCATGGCATTCTGTTTTTGTCCTTCCAAAACATTCATCTATTATTACATTTTAGTTTGAAATGGGCTTCCATACACATCAACATTTTGTGATGTAATAATAACAACCTCATAATAACTGCATCACGAAGAGCAAATATTAGTTACGTTATAGTAGGGTTAAAAGACGTTAGCAAATATAACGTATCTCTAACTAAATGCTATTTTACAGGCATTACTGACAATGTATGTTGACTTACTGACGGTGGTTTTAGATCTCAGGCTGGGGCAAGTTTTGGTTGTGCAGGGAGGTTCACGCCAAAGATCACCGCTGTTTATTTAGGGTGCTAATTTACGTTAACATTACGGTTGTGTCAAATAAAGTCGTTAGCATCGTTATAAGCGGTCCTTTCTGTGGTAGCAGCCCAGGGCTAGCTCACATGCTAACAATCGGTTGTTACCTGAGCTACGAAACGTTAACCGCATGTCAAAATAAGGCTGCTAGTTGATGGGCACGTAACAACTGCTAGATGCTAATGAAAAGTGTGAATCACATTTTTGCTACCGTTAAACGAGCAACTTGTCCGCAGACTAAATAACTCGGCCAGAAACAGGAGGCAAAACAAGGTTCCACGTGTAGTTGTAATGGCTTATTGCGTGTTTTAAGTTACAAAGCGGCCACATTAGCCATGCTATCAACTTCAGTTAACATGAACAATAATAATGGCCGATTTCATTGACAAGTTAAGCAACAGTAAATATTCCCGCTTCGGATTTGCTTCGGAACCAATGATAGGCAAATCGTCAAGCACAATCAAAGAGTAAAAACGTCCACATTGTTCCCACCCACAAAAACACCGAAAGTAGAACAAGAAGAAAGCGTTCTAGTGGGTGAACACAAACGTTTCTATGTGCTTGTACAATTGTTCTATGTATTGTATATTGCATTCCATAAGCTTAAGCACTTTAGTGTCTGCTCATTTGGTCACACCTGCAGACTTCAAGATTTCACTCCATTGCACTTCGTAGCTCAGTGCTCACAGAGCGGTGCAGCAAAGGCGGAAGTAGAAAGCACTTCGCCCTCTTGCAGAAACTGCAACGTCTTTGGTAGTCTTTTTTTTTTTTTTTTTACATGGACCCATATGTCAGCAGAGTTTCTCAATCTGTCACTTTGCTAGGTGGAGTGCCTTTGACGGAGGAAAGAGAAGCTGGGCACAGCTACCATGACTGTCCGACAACTCCTGTGAACCGACTTCCGAAGAAAGCGTCCCCCGTCAGCGTATCGTTATCACCTTTTAACCGTTGAACCGGCCAGGTCCTCTCTCCCGTTTTTTTTGACAACCGTGGAACAACACCCACGCGCCCGTGTCAGAAGTTGCAATGCTAACTGCCGTTAGCTGCCGCCCCGTTACGTTGCTATGTTTTCTCTGTGAGACTTGAAAACTGCCCGCGGGAACGAGCGCTTATTTTACTGTAACGGATAGTTTTTTTCTTTTTTTTTTCTTTTTTAAACTTCAAGGTTATAGTGTCATTTCGGCCGGGTTTTCTCGTTTTTACAAACGAAGCGTTTCAAACTGCCACAGACATGGGACTACACCCGCTGGAGTTCAGCGAGTGCTATCTGGACAGCCCGAGCTTCAGGGAGAAAATTAAGTCACACGAAGCGGAGCTGGACAAAACCAACAGATTCATCAAAGAACTGTACAAAGATGGAAAGAACCTCATCAATGCAACGAAGCGTGAGTCGATTTCATGTGCTTTTTAATTAAACGTTTCAACTGTAAGAAAACACCCAGGAAAGGATCTCGGTCTTCCTGAGTCCCATATTTTGTCCAACAACCACTTGCTCACCTTTTTGCATTTGGTGGTGTTAAGAGTTGCAGAACAAACGAGCGAATTGTCCTGATAACTATTAAACCACAGTCTTTTACCTTTGCTGGAATGCTGCATTATTGCCTTTTTATTGCATTTGTATTTTATTTTCTTAGGACGATTGTTAAGTCGTGGGCCTGAACCAAAAGGGCCCCGAGCTCTTTTGACAACTCCCTGGTATATTTGCTCCCAGTCACACCCCCCACAGGGTTAAATGATTAGATTGTTATCTGTTTGAACTCTACTCTCCTGGGCTTGTTTGTAAGTTGCTCACAGCCGGTCCTCGGCACACAGGCATCAAACACGGGGCTGTTCTGCTGTCCCAAGCTGTCCTCTTGGACCCACCCAGTGTCTTTTATGCAATGTTTTATAATTCTATTTGAATCAAAATACGACCGCTCGGATTGGCATTCATTTAAAATAGTTAAAACAAAAAACATCTTGTGTTAACGTTCCCTTTTTATGAAATAATTTGCTTGGTGTGTTGACAGATGGCCTTCAGGCGTGTTCCATCAGCATTGCTCGCTGCTGACAACGTGTTCTTCTACCCTAATGTCTCCAGACTACATAGACTTACTGTGTCATAATAGGAAAATGAAATGTTCAAGAGGTTATTACTTTAGCAACACTTGTGGTATAACAAACCTTCGGCCTGTGGCCCACGTCAGGGTCCAGGCTGCAACTTTGTCGTTCTGACAATAGCGGGAAATCTTTTTGAGACTTTTTCCCCTCGTGCTGAAAGTCCCCCCTCTGCCATAACAGTTTATCTTGTCATTTATTATGTCATGAGGGTATGATCATATCCTGTAATCGCTTACCAAGATTGTGTTTTGCCTTTTCCTGTTCACCGCGAAATGGTAGTTAAACATCTTTTCATTTAAAGTTACTCTTTTTAGGAGTTTAATGTCTGTACAACTGCAGCGCACCCGAAATGTATCAGGTTTTATACTGCAACGATTATTTCAACAGCTCCTGAGAATCTGGCCGGTTCCTGGAGTCACTTTAAAAATCACTTCCAATCCTTTGTGAACATCCCAAATCAACAGGTGCTCCATGATTTTCATGGAAAGTGTACACTTAACACAGGGTCAAAAGGTCGGGCTGGTACTCGCCTGATGAGCTGCTATGTGTTGTGGTATTCATACAACGCAGGACTGCTGCTATTGGCGGTCCTGGTGTGTATTTGTGTGTATATGCATGTCACAGGAGAGGCCCGTCCTCGGTGTCTCTCCTCTATTGATTCGGTGTCTCTCTTTCAGCCGATGACGTACATGCAGTTGTCGTAGCTCTTCTACACACTGTCCTCCTGTACTGTACATTACTGTATATGCATAGTAGCATGTTACTATAGCAGCATGCTGGTAGCTTCATTACACTTTTACATCTACGCATCTGTGTATAAAACTCTAAGGAGGTCAGTTGTTTTTAAACTTGGTGATCAAACCGTCGCCAAGCACCTTCTTCCATTTGTAACCTGGAAGAAAGTACTACAGTAAATTGCCTCCTGGCGCTGTCGTCTTCCATTCTAGTTGTGATTTAATTACCCGCTTAAAAATATAGTCGGGCGGTTAAATGCTTCTTTTATCAGCCTGAAGTTTTGGCAGCCACCTAAAACTACCAGGCGAGATGTCGTCGGGTGCCGCGGTGAACTCCGGTATTCCTCCGTTGCTCTCTGATGAGTAGATGTTGATGCTTGTTTTAGGAGGGCAGATCGTGTGTTGTATTTCATGCCCTTAACGACGCTGCCTAAACTAAACTATGTGTCACTTTGTTTTATGTCTGCTTTAATTGTGTCCCAACATGTGATGTGTGTCACATCCTTTCACAACAAAGCTGTTAACCATCATGGTAGCTTCTTTCTTCTGGGTATATGACAAGAATTAAGGAACCATGGTAGTAAACTCCCACTGGGAGTACTGCAAAGTCAGTAGAAAATTCAGGAAGGAACTGATGCTCATGCTCTGCAGTGCCCTCATGCTCTAGACGTCCTGTCCCTTCTCCCTTCTCATGGCAAATGACTGTTTTTGACATTCTTTGATAACCATAATCATGCGGTGTTTACGCAAATAATAGTAGTCGAGAAAATTAAACATCCATCTGCTAAAGCAAAATGCATGGCCTGGCTGTTTTGGATGTTGTCATGAAGCGAAAACGGTCCACTTCTTTGTACAAAGGGTGTTTCCCACCGCGATAGTTAATTCAAGGTGAGGCTGGTTAATCCAAACTGTGCTCAGTAGCTGTGAACTTTATGTGTTTTAAGGATAACACTTGGACGCAAAGCGGATACACGAAGTCAACCAACCAAAATATAAGCCGTTGTTGATCCAGCACCTTGAATGTGAATGTTTTCTCTTTTTTTCAGATTTATATACTACTAACTTGAATAGTTTTGAGTTTTTGTTGTTAGAAAAAAATACATTTTGTGACCACATGTTTTGATTTAAAAAACAAGCAAACAAATGAATTGTTAGTTTCCAGTACTTGGGACAAATGAAAAAAGACCTCCAGCCTTGTGAGAACAATTTCCAATTTTGATTACAATTTAACGAGGACTGCCTTCCATTGAAGGACCTTCAGCCTGATTATTTAACGTAATGTGGAATAGCCCTTGATTCAAGTTTGTATTCGGACATTTTTGGTAAGCACAATGGTATCATATCTAAACTACTGTGAACTTCATATCTCCAGTACAAATTTGTAAGTAAAGAAACGCTGTTGTTAATTTACACTCTCCCGCTTTTCTCTTGTCCCAGCACACTGTGACCGTGTGTTTGGTTCTCCTCTTCATAGAGATCATACAAAATAGCAGTTATTTTGCCTTTTTCTAAATCTTTGTGGTTTCGTTTGTGGGTAGCAGCTTTGAAACTCTGATTGTTGTTTTTGATAAGTGGAGCTGATTTGGTGAAGCTAGGCGATGTAATCCTCTCTGTATGGTCACAACTAGTGATTGCGTTGGATTAGAGCATTTTTTTTAAATTTCATACAATGCCTCTACAACTTCATGTTTTGACCTCAGAATGATCCTCTGTTTGGCCTGTCAAAGACAGTTGTTGCTCTCGCACATCCCATTCCCATGTCAACCTGTCAGTGACTGGGAGGATGTTCCACTACGGAAAGACCTTGGTGCTGAGAGGAAACCTTATAGCGGGGCCCTAGAGCCAGAGAGCCGTGACATGGAAGTGCCCACTAGAGGAGCAACATGCAGATGTGCTTCTGTTTTACAGGGTTTCCTACACAGGAACTGTGTCCTGTCTGTACCCTCTAAGCACAGACCACACTGTTGCCTTAGCAAACACATTGATTTCTGGTTTGAGTACGGCAAGTTGAGCTCGCCATTTCTGAATTTATTCTACTTTATTAGATCTATTAGTCTCATAGTGTTTGCATGATCCTGTTCTGGCTTCAATCATTGGAAAACTGTTTGACAGTTGCAGTAAGGTCAATCGTAGTCATTTCCACAGCTGGTCTTCCTCCGGTGAATTGACCACTTTGTTGGTTAAAAAAAAAGAAATGTATTATTTACATTTCTTTTTTTCTGTTTCACCAACCCAGCCATGTGAAAGTCCTTTTCTTTTTATTTGGCAGACCATTTTGAGAGTAGCCTGCCATGGTGTGCTTTGGCTTACTGCTCTCTCTCTCTATGTCTCGCTCTCTCTGTCTCTGTAATCACATTACTGATTCTGCCAAAGAGCCACATCACAATCTTTCATTAAAATCGCATTAGCACAAGACGAAGTGAAGCGATGTGGGAGGACGGCTTTTTCATCTCTCCCTCCAGAGAGAACGCAACCTTCTATTTAAAAAAAAAAAAGAAAAAGAGGAATCCTTCAAGGCGCAGCTCTGCTTTTGGGGCTCCTTTTTAGGTGCAAAGAAAGCGTTGACAACTATTTGAAGCACTTTTATTAAGTCATGTACGGCAACTTCATGAATACGTGCTAACAGACGCTGGTCTTTCTTTCATTTGGTCGTTATTGACGGAATACCACTCGGCGTGGCATCACCTTACAGGCGTGTTTAGCAGGATCATGAAATGAAGTAATGCGTGCTTTGTGGACAGGGTCCTGGGGGGAGGGAGAGGCCGGGAGTGGAAGGGTGTCCGGGCCTAGTCAGGGGCAAAGGTTGACGCCGGGATTCGGACTGGGAAAGAAGGGGACAGTGGAAACGGAAGGACAGTGGAAAGGCCCAGTGCGTAAACGCCGGCCGCTGTTTGAGGGCCTGGACCAGGCGAGCTCTGACCCAAGTGGCACATCTGATGAGTCTGTAGAAATCATAACAAACATCAGTGCAGCAGGCGGCCAATGAATACACCGTGGACATCTTCACCAGCTGAACTTTGACTGGTACATACCGTTTCTGGTTTGTTTTTGGAAGAAACTCCCAAAATGCAATTTGAAATTTCCGGCTTTAGGATCCAAGTGGAAAATAAGTTCAGTCACTTAAATTTTCCTGGATAATTATTACTAACTTCTGTTATGTTGAAATGACAATTTCATGCTCAAACGTGCATCGCGTGACTCTATTTAAGGAAACATTACGGCGATGCTGGAATAGGCCGGCATGTAAAGCCCAATCTCACAGCAGCCTGGGGGTGTGCGCATTAAACCTGGAGAATTCCCCTCCAGGAGGATTCACAGTTACAAAAAACAACTACTACTTTACGCTTGGCGCATATCAGAAATTACACGGACGGAGTGGGGAGCCAATCCTGGTTTGACAAGCGTTTCCTACAGTCGTCCCAAGCCGGTTTAAACTAAAGTATTTATGGCAATACAAGAGGTGAACGCAGTTTTCTTTTTTCCTTTTCTTTTTTTATATGGGAATGTGGATCTGTTGGATCCATTTGAGGATTCCTTCGGGTTTGCATGTT